AAAACTCAGATTTTGCCATTGCTTCAAAAATAAATCACTTTTTAAAAACAAAATATATGGGGAAAAAGTCCCCCCCCTTTTTCTTGTTTTATTTAAGCACATTTCTTCCTACTCTTCTTTTGGAAACCTAAGCTGTTATACTCAGTATACTAATCTCTCTTTTTAGAAATATAATTTATTATATTCAACCTTAGATAATAATGCTGTTTTTTAAATACAGCAGACTTCAGTAACTGGTAAACACTGAATCTGAACTTAACTCCTCTCAATAAGTCAAACTTTTGGGTTGCTCAAAAATACCGTCTGCTCCCTTCAGTTATAATTGATTAAAAATTGACAGTAGTCTAATTTGAAAATTAAGTCATTAAAAACTTATATAAAAAAATGTATACACATCTCCATCATATTTTCTTTGCTTTTTTTAGTAATCCTTCATGCTTTTTAAATGAATTCTTGATGGGAACAATAACACTTCTAGTGATGGATTAAATTTAATCAACAACTTAAAATGCATATGCAAACATTTATAGCAAAATTTTTATTTATAATTTATCCTTTTATACAGTAAGTATTTAGTTATATTTATATACATATGTAGGTGGGTACATACATATACTTTTACACATGATCTGGGAAATCAGAGGAAGCATTCTTAATGCATAAATTTATGTGCAGACTATACTATTCATTTGTACTGAAAACAGAATGGAAATCCCAAGAAAGGGGGGAGGGGAGAATGTGATCTTAGAAATATCTAAAAATAAATAAATAAAATAAAAATCATTGTTTCAGATTAAACCCATAATGCTACTTTAAATCAGACTGAAAAAAATAATAAAACTATTTTTCACATAAAATATTTTAAATAAAACTGAAATAACATTTTTCAAAATTTTAGAAAGCTATGCAAGAATTATATGTATATTATGAGAATTGCATTTCTACCAAAAGATTAGAAACAGAAGAGGAAAACTATAGATTTTTAACAAATATCATACTCCAATTTTGATAAGTTATCCAACATGAAGAGTACTGGTATGTATGTATGATTTAATACTCACATTTGTTTCTTTGAAATGTTAGACTTTAAAGAAATGCATTAACATCTCCTTTTAAGGATTAGTCACCCCAAAACTAGTATTTCTCGCCTTATATACAAGTGCCTAATTCAGACAGAAAATTTCCTCAGCCAATAATGGTAAATGTTAAATTGCAAACTGAGTGGATAAATCTGATTAGTAAGATTCTTCATGAAAGGAAACTTTCCTTTTCCTGAACCATAAAATTACTCACTTGAGCACCTTTATCTTAAGAAATACTTATAAGTATATATATATATATATATTCCTTTCATTAAAAATTAAATTTTTGTCCATAAAAATATTCAAAATGCTTATTAATATGCATTATAACTTTCAGTATTACTATTAACCCCAATAAATATTTTTTTTATTTCTCATTAAATTTCATAAATAGCGCTATATAAACTGATTTTCATCAAGGAAAAAAAAGGCTTTGAGATCCATTTTTAAAACTGCAGTAGACTCCTGGTTAACTAGAATAATACTGGGAATTATATCCACAGTTAAATCAAAATCATAGTTAATCTAAAGGCAGTTGAAAAATACACATAAAAGAGGTAAAAGCCCTATCATAATGAAGAGAAAAAAAGCCACAAAAATTTATTTGGGCTTCTAAACAGATTAATACAGAGAATAGCTTGATTTCTTTATGTAAATCAAATCAATGTTTAAAACAAAAAACATATACCATAAATAACAACAGAATGAACATCATTAGAAATGATACAACCAAATTATAAATGGCATAAAAGAAAAATATTTATAAAAGAACCTGAACAATGTTATTCAGTTTAACTCATACAAAAAAGCAAATTAGAACTTTTTTGTTTTCAAAGTATAATTTTACATACTCATGATTATGTACTATTAAATTACATTATAATAATATAATAATTATAATAATTTATCATTGTTACAATGTTTTAAAAAAAAATCGCCGAAAATTTCCCAGATCTCGGAATTAAAATTTTCTATAGAAACTGATCTTAAAATCGCCAAAATGTTAATAAGTCGCCAAATTAGAACTGTTTAATAAAAGAATTCACATCCCCAAAAGCAAAAAGTTGTTTAAGAGCTCTTCATTAGAAAAAATGAAATAATTTAGAAATGCTTATGTTTCACTTCTTGCTCAGAAACTTAAGTATCCCACCATTTATATTATAAATAGGAACAAATTATAACCCATGAACCCATTCACAAATTCAAAAGATAACTATATTTGTCAGTGAATCGCCAAAAACATTCCTCCAAAATGCTAATTCACACTCAAAATGACAATTAAAAAAACAGACAGAAATTTCAGATGATTAAAATTAAGGACCTTCTGCTGATTTTGGCCAAAATTAAGGACCTTTAAGGACCAAAAATCAATTCCAAAAAACCTAAGGACTCTTAAGGATCGTACGAACCCTGATTATTGTTTTGATAAAATCTTTTTCCATCATCTATATCCTTACTGTTATCCTAAACATTTTTCTTTTCTTTCTCATATTTCCCTTCGGCAGTTTTGTTTCATGGTAATAATGAGGTTTAAATTAACTTTCTTTTTAGACACAGCCAGTTAATACACCCTCATATAATCAACTGACTGTATGAATACTTTAATACATAATTTCTAAGAAATGGATTATAGCAAATATTACATCACAGAAGAAAATTACATATTATAAACATTTTCTTTTGTAATTGTTTTTGTACTGAGAGATTATGACATTAAATTTATGTCATTATTCCATTTATTCAGTCCCTCTCTCTCTTTATATCTATACTGCTGGCCGTTAAAATTGCAACACCTGGATAGAATAATCTGACGAACGTCAAAATCCTATGAAAGGTAGAAGGTGGAATATGCATATGGATTAGTACTTCAGTGCATTTAGACGACAAAGGAGGGAGAAACGACATCTGAAGCACTGCATAAAAGAAAAGTTGTGAAGTGGATTTCTCATTCGGAAAGTGCTTTGTAAGGTTGCAGTTTGCTTAAAATATCATGTTATGCCTCAAATAAGAAGAGGAAATGCTTACTAGCAAGTTTTGAAATTCAATAGAGGCAGGATCGTTGCCTATCAAAAGTGTAGATTATCGTTCCGTGATATCGCCGGTTGCACTAGTCGACATCCAACCACTGTCATACGAATATGGAATCAATGGACTGCTGAGGATTATAATGAATGGCATACAGGATCTCAATGCCCTTCCATCACTAATGCCAGAGAGGACAGACATATTATGAGATCAGACTGCAAAACTGTATGACCACATCATGGACACTCCTGATCTCCAGTCAGGAAATGAGCATGTTTACAGTATGCCCAGTATCAGCTTGTAAGGTGCATAAACATTTGCAGCAGCATGGGCTCACAGCAGGGGCGATCATTTCTTCAGCTTCCACTGACAATACAGCCTAGAAAGAGAAGGCAGAGTCCTGGTTCTACGTGTAGTATTTTAATGGCCATATACATGTCTGTAGTGTCCAAGGAGACTGCATGTCACCTGCTTGCATTCGATATAAGTACAGGGGATCTGCACCTGGTGCAATGGTTTGGGCGGCCATTATGTACACGACATGCACATCTCTAGTTGAATCGATGGTAATTTGAATACAGATGGGTACATTTCTGACATCTTACGTCCAGTGATTATGCCCTATTTTTGAGGTCTCCAAATGGTATGTTCCAACAAGATAATGCAAGATCATATGTTGCACGTTGTGTTCTGACCTTCCTACATGTCATGTTCTGACCTTCTGACACATAGTATTTGATTGCTGCCCTGGCCTGCACAGTCTCCAGATCTGTCATCCACCATAAACATCTGGTCATGGGTTGCTGAGAGACTGGCCCACCATCCCTCTCCAGCTAATAAAGTTGATGAACTGTGGCACAGACTTGAAGCAACATGAAATAAGTTGCCCATTTCTGTCATCGAAGCTCCATTTGATTACATGCCTAATGGGGTAAAGTCCATTTCAGCTGCCAGGAGTGGCAGCTGTTTCCAGTAATTTTGCAACATTGTAAACCTTCAAAACTTTTACAAATCATTTTGTCTTCATGTCATACTGTTTACACGCAATAAATATCTTTTTTGTATTTGCTTGCCTTCATAGTGTTGCAATTTTAATGGCCAGCAGTGTATATAACTTATATATATAACACATCTCACTTATATACAGTCAAAAGTCTTTAATCCGGACTCGTCAGGACTTCGGCGATTCCGGATATAGATCATCAGTTTAAATCTGGTAAGATGGCAGGCAGAAATTATAAAATTAAAAATATTAAACTTTAATTTATGAAATAAAGAGCAATTATGATCTAAAGGGTATCAAAATTTACAAAAAAAGAGCTTAATATTTATTTGTTTACTTTATTAAACATTTCTTTCAATGTGCGCATGCGTAAAGCATACATTACGCATAGTCGAAACTAGAAAATTGCAATCAGAAAACTATTTGATGTGTATTCGTGATATTTATAATGACGAGGAAATTGATTTAAATCATATCGGAGTACATTGAGATGAAACACAACATTTAGTGAGGAATTATAAGCCGAATAATATAAAAACATCTGCCCGGAAGATGAGGATAGTGCTGACAGATCAACTTCCAGTTCATTGCGCGTCGCAACGTTTCCCCCTTTCCACAGAGTAGCATGAAATTGATAAACAGATTTCGAAATGGTTAGAGAAATAAATCACCTCTCTGTCACTTTCTTCATGCCTTTATCCATTTTTTGTTTAATGGACATCAAAATACGCTTTCGCTTTGCAGATCTTTTGGCAGCTCCAGCATCGGAAATTCTATTTCACATAATCGAAAGTTCAAGCTTACTTTTATAAAATTGCTCTAATAGTCTGAAAAAAAAAAAAAAAAAAAAAAAAAAAAAAATAATGAGCTGGATCCGATTCGAAGATTAAGGAACAACGCAATCTGCAACATTAACTGAATTAGATAATTTTAGCTTAGCTTATACCGTCCGTTATACATCAAACGTGCATGCATAAACGCATTATGCACATGCGCACACGCATGCGTAAAGGTAATACATGCATGTGTGAACGCATTATGTGTTGACGCATGTGCAGAAAGTTTGTAGCTTTGAGGTCCGTATTATGGGTGTCAGGATTAACAACTTTTGACTGTATATAATCATCTTAGTTTATATAACACACTATCAAGACAAAAAACATCTCAGATGAATTACATTTCTTTAAAAGGAGATATCCAAGTAACTGGCACAAAGTAAGAACACAAAAACCTATACATTAAGCAGAAGATAGAAGAAGTTGGGAGTTTTATGAAGAACTGAAATGCCACCTCCTGAAATGGACTTTCCAGTTAGAACGAGTGGTGAAATAGCGAGAACAAATTTCACATTTAAATGGTCTTTCACCAGTATGAGTTCGCAGGTGTACTTTAAGGTTGAACTTCGTGCTATACAATTTATGGCATATATGACAAGTAAACCATCTATTATCTTGAAAGTCTTGATTTGTCCATTTTAATGCACTGACAGAAAAGGATGAAAAGTGCCTAGCTTTCAAAACGGACATACTTGAACGTCCACTTCTTCCACAGCCTGTGCAGAAAATAAGGAAAGGGTACAATTTTAATAAGAAAACTTTAGACTTAAACTATTAACATATGATAAAAAAATTATACATCAATAGCTTTTTAAAATGAAATATTCCAAATAGAAAATAGAAACAAATGTAAAAAAAAAAGCATTTATTAACAAGGACATTAACTACAGATGCTACTGAGGCTCATGGAAAGATTCAACAGTTTTTCCATCATTTATTTATTCATTTTCTGACACTACATAAAGAAATCTTTACTCCTCTAAATTTATGTAAACATGCTATACATTATAAATGTCAATGAAAAATGCTTAAAACTATCAATATGTGATTTTCTGTCTTGGATTTAGAAGCTACCTTTTCTGCAACCATGGTTTAAAATATTTTTCAAATGTGGCCGCTGAAATGATTTGCGGAGATGTCATGGTTCAACAAGCAGTAAGGCACAATACTTGGACATTTTGGTTACCTAAATACTTTTTAAAGAAATACTTAAAACTTTCATTACACAAACATTCAAATCATGCATGTTTACAAGAATCATACCAAATGATGCCCGTCACCTCTTCACACACATTAGTACACACTGCTTACACTTAAAATTTAAATAATGCCCGTCACCTCTTCACACACATTAGTACACACTGCTTACACTTAAAATTTTTATTTGAAGGGAACACATAAAATGCAAATTACAATTTCTAAAAACTATCCACAAAAGACCAAGCTGCCATAGGGAAAAATATTTTTATGAATTTATTGTCTGATTTAATAACAACAATTCATGGCATACAATTGCTTGTATTCCCATCATACACAAAGCAGTACATTTTTAGGATGCAGCTCTCACTCTTGATGTTACTAAAAGAGTACAACAGAGGAGCTTTTGGCTCACTCCATAATCTTTTGCTTGTAAAATTATCATACAGTATCCACTTCTCATTCCTTGTAATGAGCTGTTTCAAAAAAGGAGTCTCTTTAATCCTTTTCAGCAAATAATCACATGTTGAAACTCAAACAAGCATACCTTGTAGCAGCTTGCATACCCAATCATCTTCAAATGATCAGGTATTACGGAAGAATAGTATAGTTATTATACTTTTCAGAATAGTTAGTCTCTCTGATAGTTAATGAAACATATAACATGTGTTTTCAGAAATATTGAAAAGGATGGTCAGCCAGAGTGGGCATAATCTTTGAAGCTGAAATTTTTGTGGTTTAACTTCTCAAACCACTTTCAAATTGTCTCATCAGAAACAGCTCTTTGTCCATATATAATTACAAATTTTACAGTTTATTTCTAACAATATGACTGGCATTTTTTTTTTTTTTTTTTTAAATAAAAGAGCATAATATGATGAAAATGAACTTTTGGGTTCTTCATTCTCAGCATCACACGAAAAAAAAATTATGTTACAACACATGCTAGAGTTATGCAACGTGAACAGAACATTTATAACATCAACTTTGATGAAGGTCACCCCTTACCAACAAAACAATTAGAAGAACATGCACTTTGATTTGTAAAACTGCAGAACTTTCTGAACGACCCGACAGAATGTTCCTTTAATATATGCACCTGCGTGTAATGAGGTAGGAATCAGTACATGCTTTGTCAGGTTTATGATATCTTGGAAAACCATGATTTAAATATTTAGATTTACAGATTAATATTTCTAAAACAACAAACACTTATTATGAAAATGTATGTTGTTTAAGTATTTTGTGTATATGCATGCATTTAAAATAAATTACACATACATAAATACGAGGGCAATCCCCAAAAAAGGGTCTCCTAGATTTTTAGATATACAAAGAACCGTTCATTTTCTATAATTGCTACATCAATTTAAAGATTGCAGAATGCTTTATTTTTCAACATAATCGCCATTTCGGTTGATGCATTTTTGTAGACGCTGTGGCAGTTTTACAATGCCCATGTCATACCAGCTTGCCGCCATGCCCTTCGGGAAGTGTTGAGGAGCTTCAGGAGCATCCAGATGATCCTCCGATCTTTACGCATTTTACGAACTCAACAATCGCGAAACTCAAAGAATACGAACTCAACAATCGTCTCGTCTGCAATTGACGGCCTCCCGCTCCTTTCTTCGTCATGAAATTCAGTACGACCGGCTGTAAACTCTCTACACCACTTGCGAACGCTTTTGACATCCATGCACGACTGTCCATACACTTCCGTCAATAGGCGGTGAATTTCAACTGGTTTAAAGCCTTTTGCGTTCAAAATCGAATAACTGCGCGCACTTCGCACTTGGCGGTAACGTTTATCGGGAGCTCCATTTCGAATGGCTGCCAAGCCAAGAATGAGCATCCGTGCTTATGTGGTAGCGGAGAAGGCACCACTCACAACAGTGTTGCCAACAACCGTATTAAAACTTTCTCTACATCCCCCAAAAATAGGAGACCTTTTTTTTGGGATTGCCCTCGTATTTAAAGCAAATTAGAAACACATAAATATGTAACATAAGAACCCAAATATAAGATGCTACAAACAAATAGTAATAATAGAATATCTTATATATATGCGGCTTAAGTGTTTGTCACCGATAGTTTATTGGTTGTTTGCGTAACTGTAAATTGTTTTATTCCCCGCACAGTGCAACGCGTGATGAATATTGTGAGAAAGCTAAGCCATAAAAATTAAAAATACAAGAGCACATGCGTTTAACATTTAATAAATAAATTCAACATCTCTATATAATAGAATTCAGAAATATGCAACCGTCAACGATGAAAAAACAAATAAAACAAAATAAAAAAAATATCTTTATTATATGCAGCTTAAGTGTCTGTCTGTCACTGATAGTTCATTGGTTGCTTGCGTAACTGTACTAGCCAATGGGGTGAAGTTGCCACGGCACAGGGTTGCCGTTTCAATTGAGACATAGACAATTTCCTGTAAAACTTGCCTTTGCTATGACCATCAATAAGTCTCAGGGCCAAACGCTTAAGCGTGTTGGCATTTTTTTAACCTGAGCCTGCATTTGGACGCGGACAACTTTATATTGCCTGTTCAAGAGTTCGTGAAAGAACGGACATAAAATTAAAATAATTGATGGTCCTCTGCAAGGCAAGCTTAAAAATGATAGAAAGATCTACACAAGAACTGTTGTGTACAAAGAGATCTTTGACATGTGAATTAATATTTTATTATTTAAATCACCTTTATTTATTGAGCTAGCGGTGGCTCTTAAGAAATGTACCGCCAGTGGTTTCCTTCATTGCACTCTTCTTTAAGCAATTAAGCAGGGAGAAGGGGGAAACCCCGTGGGACAGTAAGCATAGGGGCATCTTCGCCGCCTGCCCTCGGTAATTCAGTTTGAATTAGCATACACCTTTGCACAAATCATTTTAATTACAATTTATAATATCTAAAACAGCAGTCATTTCATATGACCGCTGGGCTTAGTATACATATAATGAAATATAAAAATCAGCAATGGAATATACAAATATACTGCAAATTATTTCTTCAGCAACAAAACTACAATAGAAATAAATAAAATTGGAGGTGAATAATATATTGAAGGCCATAAAAATAAATAAAATGTTAAAAATTAAAGTGGAACTATTAAGTTTTTAAATGTATTTAATAACTATTTAATGCTATACTGTAGCAGTATATTCAATATAAAATATTTCATTATTTGGAAAACAAAGAGGCAGAAAATAGCAACATCATAAATACAAAGAAACATGACTTTCAAAAAGTAACATACATTTCTATTTTACACTTGAAGAATGTTATGTCAAAAATTCTTATAGTAAAAGTCCTAAAAATATTAATTTAAAAAAATTAATAATGATCAGTAAAGTTAATGGAAAGTTTGACAGCAACATGAACAAAAGTATGAATCCTTAAGATTCAATATGCACATATAGGTTTATTCATATATAAACACAAATATAAAAGAAGAAGAATTAGAAAAATTCCTGGCTGAAACTGCAACTGAATAAATTTTCAGTCTAGGTCTCAATGCAATACTATTAGTTCACGTTACATGGAAAACTGTACTTTCAGTTTGTAGCCACATATCAAGCACATAAAATAAGAAAGTTGTAATGATATACAAATTTATGCAATTGATAAAAATTTAAATGATATCAATAATTCCTAATTCATTCTCAAATAATTAATAGAAAGAATCTATTTTTTTAAGCAGGCATTTCAATGGATTTTTAATAAAATACAAAGAACAAATATCACATTAATTTAAAGTGCATGGCTAAAACCAAGATTTACTACGCATTTGTGATGCAAATAAAAGGCTGAAAATAAGTAAATTAGCATTTCATAAGACTTAATAATGAATGAATGACATGAAATGAAAGATTCTTATGGTAACAGCCAATATGAAAACATATGCTGCAAACAAATAAAAAGAAATAATGAACTTTTTACTTCTTCCTTGTGTGAAGAATTTCAGAACATTTTCAACAGTCTTTCACACTTTGAAGAAACAATTAAAAACTGTAAACTAAACACATATCCAATTATTGCAAACTGTATTAAATGAACTAGGATTATCTCATGAAAATCAATTATTACATAATCTTAACAGATTATACAACAGTTTTATGATTTTTCCAAAATAATGAGATGAGTTAACTAAAAAAAATTATTAGAACATGCACCATATTTTTGTAAATAATGATTAATTTCCTTTGAATAACAGAAAGATATATGAGCTAACTTGCCTAATGGCTACCACAAAATTAAATACATTGTTATTACCTCTAATAAGTGTTCTTATTTTCAAACTAAATATTGTTAATAAAATATTTTAAAGTATGCTATAATATTTTATCTTTTGTTTATTCAGATAACAAATC